TTAGGTCAAAATGGCCTGAACATGATTTACATACGTATGTTTATTGTAAGACTCCAACTCATTAGTCTTTCATCAAAAACTGATATCACTGGTTGTATTAGGATCGTTCAGCAGAGAATGGGTTATGTAATCATAATTAGTTTATAGGAGAAGTCACCTTTATTTTTTAATGGTCTTTTATAAATCATTCTAGATAAACTCAAAAAGAAATTCAATTTCATGACATCATACATCCTAGTTACTTGTTGCGATAAGAGGCACTGGAGTTTAAATCTGAAGTTTCAGTTTTCAAGCGTACTCTTCGTTTACTACTTGATGGTATTAATCAGATTGTGCCTTACGTGCTGACAGATTATTAGCTTAAAGAAGGTTCAATTCATTATTTTTACTTCAAATTTAAGAAAAGTTGTAATTACATCTACAACTGTCTTCCAATCATACAAACACGTTGGCTAATATGTGTCCCTATCCACAGAAGAGTTAAATGTAAATTGTACCAATTACTAAACTATTGAATGATTTTGTTAAGGTTTATTTCTGCAGGCTCGAATCCTCTGAAAGTTCAAACGCAAAAATGTAACTTCACGGATACTTTAATTCAAATAAGTACCTATACTTATCTTAAAGCTCTGTCATTATAAATTTTTTAGATAATTTATTTTGCACTGGTTTAATTGTTTTAAAACTCTTATAATTTAGTAAGGTCATGTTACTAACTTTTAAAGATGTTTCTATTTACCCATTAGAAATCAGTTACTGTTAAAAGTTAAATTATAAACAGAATTAATTACTTGTACTTCTATAGTACATGTCCAAACTGACCTACTTTCACGATCCTATTGGTACCATCTTCACTTTAAGCATTTTCAAATTTTAGAAATACTATAGAATTATTTTACTGGCTGTCATGTGTATATAAATTGATTTTTAGCTTTTTAATTGCTACATATACCTAGTAAAAATCAAATATTGACTTCAGATAATTTGTAAGTGAAAGAGTAACAGAATGAAGATTATCTTGTCGAAACCTATAGTTTACAACCGAAATTTTCCTGAATTTCTCTTGTAAATGATACTTGATGAGAAACTAATTTAACTGCTAATATATGTTACGTATTTCATTTAAATGGGATTTCAATTTTCAGCATAGGAGTTCTGTATATAATTGAGTGTCATTGATATCACGAACCGAACTAAGTTAGGCATCCATTGAAAAATAGGAAGCCATTAATAGCTGTTCCATCTTAGTATGGTACTCCTCAGCAGCAATGATCCACGACTCTATCGAAGAGTGTCAAACCTAGGACTTAAGGTCTTGTGTGCGTACGTTTCACATATAGACCAGAGTTGGAATTCAGTGGCGGATATTTTCCACGTTAATCAGTTAACGATATCATGTGTTCACCAGTGACTAATTTCAAGAGGTAAATCTGCAATCCTAGATACCATGACTAGTGTGGTTTGAATATTGTTGTGTGTGAAGCAGTTACATAACAAAGACAATAGAAAGTGATTGCACAATATCGTGAATTGCCTGAAGCTAAAGATACGATTGGATCATAGCCCAGTGGTCTAATAGTGAAAAATTCGTGAGACCATTAGCTCCATGTATCATTCTCATTATTATACGCCCACAAGATTTGTGTTAACTTTATGACACAAAAATTCCATCCCCTCACTTTGTCACTATATATGACCTTACGAATTACTCAGATATCATTGTAAATTTCTTATACATGTGTGCATAATTTTACGGATATATCTATGTACCAACTTGTATCTCCGTCACGGTTATAAAAGTTGAATTACAATATTTGCTGAGTCAGCGTATTACCGAA